AGGAGGAGGAGGAGGAGGAGGAGGAGGAGGCTGAGGAGGAGGAGGAGGAGGAACTTGATTTCCTCGCCGAACCCCTCTGAGGGAACGAGGCGCAGCATATAGCCAGTCGATCCACGGATCACCGTGGGCACGTCTCGTAGATCCGACGGGCAATCGATGTTGTGGCATGGGGGCGCCCGGAATGGGTACGGAAAGACTGGGCACAATGCCCAACAACAACTGTTGTCCCAAAGCAGAAGCGGCCGCTGATGGGCAGGCGGCCTTCTGTATCGAATGGACACGGGCCGCCGCGGCGGCGTGGACAGCGAGTCCTGCTCAAATGAACAAGATCCGCTGTTGGGCATTGTGCGGGCAAGATTCATGTCCATATCCAGTGCCTCTTGGACTTTTTTGGAAGCGGCGCCACAAGGCCGAGGCGCACTGGATGTGAAAACAAATCAAGCTTCTAGGGGGCAAATCTATCCATATCCAGTGCGCCTCGGGTTTCTTGGGAAGGGAGCCCGAAACTCCATACTGCAGTGGGTATGGACAGAAGTATTGCCCGTACATTGTGCCCGTTCTTTCCGTGCCCATTCCCTTCGTACAGTAAAACAGGGCTAGGATCGGGATAAATCGCTCCAGAGCGTTCCCGAGCGCTCTCAGAGCGTTCCGGAACGCTCTGGAGCGGCCGCGGCGCCCAAGACATCCTCCAAACCCGCCCATTCTCAGAGATCTCGAGTTCTCCCGACCCGATGTTGTCCCGACCTTCGCGTCGTTTTGCGCAGATGGCACAGCGACTCTGCAATCGATCCCCTGCTTCAGCGCCCCTCAAACGGGGACTCCACTAACGGGCACTTTGGCCAGTGACCCAGCGAACCCAACCCTTCCCGATGCGGGCAACGCTGCATTGCCAGAAAGAGGCCCTGAAGTGGCAACTTTCGGCAAAATTGCAAAGTACCCGTTAGTAAGTACCCGTTACGGCCCCGCTGACTACTCGAGGCACGGGCCCGGCCGGGCGCCGCGAGCCCACGGGCCCCTCCGCCCGCTGGCTCGCGGCCGCGGCGGCGCGGCTGCACAGCCGGCGCGGCGGCGAGCCGCCGGGGCGCTCCGCCGAGCAGAGAGCCCGGGGTGCGGCCCTGGCCCGGGCGGCTTCGTGCGCCCGCTCGCCCCGAGCCCGCCCTGGCAACAGGGAGTGCCAGGGGGCTCAGGGGCTCGCCCCGGGGGCCTTCCTGGAGCCTCTCGCTCCACTCTAACGAGTGACTATCTACCAGACCACCCCGACCCAGCCCGAAGATCGAATTTCGGGTTGGGGGGGGGGGGGTAAGGGTTACACATGTGTTTTTGCGATGTTTCCCGACCCCCCCCCCCCCTGGACATCGGGGGTAAATCTGAGCCTTCGGGTTGGGTTGGGGTGGTTTGGTGGGGGGTGAATTAGGAGACCGCGTGCGAACCCTGCCTCTGCCCCCCACGATTTCTGAGGGGGAGAGGGGGGTTCACTTCGCTCGGGAGCTCCCGAACGAAGTGTACCCCCCTTCTCCCCCTCAGAAATCGTGGGGGGCAGGGGCAGGGTTCGCATGTGGCCCCCGACGCACGTTCGTCGGTGCTGCGCCGAAGGTCCGTCGACCCGAGGACCAGCTTCGGTCCAGCCAGGGCCGAACGGGAGTGGAACGGATCCGACGGGTGTGCCCCGGGAAGGTCCCCGAGACAAAGACACAACCTGAATGTCAAGAGGGGGAGCGCGCGGGGAGCCCGGGCCACCTTGCGCCGTGAAGAAGTTACGGCGGGAAGTGTTTGGCAACGCCGCGGCCTGCATGGGAGTCAGCAGCGACCCTGGATGAAAAGCGGACCCCGGGTGGAAAGCCGACCCTGGGGAACGGCTTGGGGTCCACGTTGACCAACATCTACAATCTCTGGGGTCTGGGAACATTGCTCGTGATGATCGGGTCGGGCGAAAGAGGGGGATAGCAAAGGGGGGGGGGGGAGAATCAGCTCACGTGGCTGATTTTCCCGGCGCCTCCCGGCGCCAGAGGCGGCTATGTATTGAGGAATGGGCCCCTCGGAGATGCCGAAACCAGATGCATGCAGCAAATTTCGCACCCCCCCTTTCCCAATGCCCCCTTCTCGTCCGGCCCGAGAGGAGGGGAGGGGGGCAACCTGGGGAGCGCCCAGGGCATGGCCGCTGGCCCCCCAAACCCTCCCCCTACTTGGGGGGGTGTGCGCCCCTGCGTTCGCCCCCTCTTGGCACCTCTGGCTGCTGGATGCCCCTGACATCCCGCTCGGCGTCGCCGCCCAGCGGGCAGGAGCGCGCTCGAGGGAGAAGCACCTGGGGATGCGGCCCAACCGGCCCGTCGTCGCGGCGCTGCGAGGTGCCACTGCTGGGAGAGGCCCAGCAGAGGTTTGTACAGTGGGGGCGGTCCCAACGCGGCTGACGTCGCGCGAGGCCACGAGAAGCCAAGCCCGTGGCATTCAAACAGTGCTCTTCTGCTGCCAGCGGGTGCAGCTGGGTCTGGTCCTGAGCCATTCTCGATCAGAAACGTCTCTCCCTCATTCTCTCTACCACGACGCTGGGGTACAAAATTCGTCCCAAGCAGCCATCCTGCTATCTCAGCCGACAAGACCAATCACAATTCCTGCAACCGTGCCCTGAGCACTCAGCGGAGTGTCCTCAGGTCCCTCCGAGTTCTGAGCTGAGTGCTCTCCATACTGTTTGAGGGGCCCAGACCCCCAACTCACGGATTCCTCGTTGTGTTCCGCATGATTTCGGACATGTTCCACGTGGATCTATCCCAGGCCAGAAACCGCCGAAAAACACTGATTCAATGTTTCAATGCTTCTGGGGCCATAGGCCATAGGGATACTCTCGAACTGACCCCACGAGCCCTTGAGTGCCAAGATGGCCCCGGAGACCGCCAAGAAGCCCAAACCCGCGCCCACTAGGCCGTCAAAGACAAGCCCCCAGGTGGCCTCCAAAAGGCCCCACCGAAGCCCCCAGAAGGCCCTCAAGAGGCAGGAGTCCCCGAAGACGCTCCCAAGAAGAACTCAAGAGGTCCCCAAGATGCCCCAAGAGGCATCGAGAGGCCCCGAGGAGCCTCCAAGAGGCCTCGAACAGGCGTCTTACCCACAACCAGGTGGCGGTGGCGGGAGGCGCCGAGCTCCGCCGTAACCCTCCGCTTGCATGGGGGTGCTTGCCGTGCCACATGGCCGAGCTCTTGTTGGCCCGTCCGAACTGTTCCCGGTGGGTTTCGGCCAATTTCACCCCCCCAGCGGAGAAACTGGCCTCATTCGGCGTTCCCGCTTGAGCTGGCCCCATGCGGGCCTCCAAGACGGGCAAGCTGGCCTCCAACACGCCCAAGACTGCCTCCCAGACGGTCAGATGGCGCTCCCAAGCCGGCCAAGATCGCCAAAAAAGGGTCGATGATCCAAGACGGTCCAAGATAGCCCCAAAAGGGCCCCCGAAGCGCCCAAGACGCATCAGGAGGCCTCCAAGAGGACTTCCAGGAGGCCCCCAAGAAGCAAACACCATGACTGTTCAAAATGTGCTCGGGCAAATGTTCGTGTCCACGGCCGTCCGTTCTTCCGATCGCCCGAGGCGGCTGCCGATGCCTCCAAGATGGCCCCAAGACGGCCCAAGTGGCACCCACGAGGGCCCCAAGACGGGCGTTCGGAGGACCCCAAGAGGGCCCAGGACGCCTCCAAGACGGCCCCAGGGGGGCACCAAGGACGGCCCAGAGAAGCCCTAGAACGGCTCTCGGGCGTTCCAAAACTGACGGGAGAAGCCCACCGAGACGACGGCCTCGGACGGCGACAGACGGGCCAAGACCGCCCTATAGGACGGCCCGACAGGACCCAAGAGGTCGCCAGGGGCGCCCAAGTGCCGCAGGAGGCACCACACCAGCCCCAAGAGGCTCCCAGGATGCCCCGAGAGGGCTGCCCGATGCCCCAAGCGGTCGCCTTCTCCTCATTCTACTCTTCCCTGTCCCCTCTCTCCTCCTCCTCCCCCTATTCCTCCCCTCCCCCGGCGTCCACAATCACAACGGCCGGGGGGAACACTTAGTTCATCAGCCTGGCCGGACTTTGGCGCAGCGTTCTGCTACAAAAGCGACAGAAGACGGGCAAAGAGCGGCGTTGATTCGACAGAGGCGTCTGCAATCCGCCGCCCCCTTAGCCTGCCAGACTGGCGCTCGAGGGCCCATGAGGGACCGTGAGGCACCCCAGACCACCATGTGCCTCCATGACGGCCCAAGATGGCCCCAAGACACCTCGAGACAGCCTCGAGACGGCCCAAGCACTCCTCCAAGAGAGTCTGGAGAGGCCCCTAATTCGATCACCGTGATCTTTGAGAACGGATGCCCTCGTTACCGCATGCTCGGGCTTCCGACAGGTGAAAGACGGCTCGGGCTTCCGTCAATGGAAAGACGGCCCCCCGGGGCATTCACGGGATCCCCAAGACGGTCTAGAAAGCTCCCAAGGGAGCCCCAAGCCGGGCCACTGCGCCCCCAAAGAGCGCCCAAAGACGGCCCAAGAGACGTCCAAGACGGCCCTGCAACACCCCAAGGGGACCCAAAGACAGCCAAGGCAGGCCCTCCGAACGCGCCCGACGGTCCGGGAAGGTTTTAGTCCAGACGGCCCGAGAGGTGCCCAGGATGCTCACAGAGATGCCCAACAGAGGCCCCCGGGAGGCTCCCCAGAAGCCCCTAGGAGGCACCAATTGGGCCCCAAGAGGCCTCCTTCTCGTCCTCCTTCGCCTCCGTCTCCTCCTTATCTCTCTCTCTCTCTCTCTCTCTCTCTCTCTCCCTCTCTCTCTCTATTATTGTCCATTCGTTGTTGTTTCTTTCTCTCTCCCTCTCTCTCTCTCTCTTTCTGTGTTCTCTCCCGCCAAGTGTGCCCCACAAGGTTGCCACAACGGCTGGGCGACACATAGACCATTAGCTTGGCCAAGCTTTGGCGGCCCAACGCTTGGTCACATAGGCGATTCCGAAAGGCGGGGCGACGGTACTTGGCCGCAAGCGCCTTCGATTATACCTCACGAACTTGACGTTCGCAAAAGTCCGCTCAAACTCTCAGCGATGAAAATACTACCCCGACATCCCAATGCCCTCGGAAAATCCGAGAAGCTCGTGATTGATGAACAGGCAATATGCTACATCAGAAGATTCGGTCGCACGCTTCGGACCTTCGGTCTGGATCCGGGAGCACGCTCTTCAATCGCAAGTCGTGACCACACCATCCGCATAATCAATGACGGTTCGGGTCATGCGGGCGGGCTTGGTACCACGATTACCACGTCTGGCAGATCTCGAGCGCCTGGGACATCCCGGGCCCCATTACCCGACCGAAGACGCGGCGCCCGGCGAAGCGTCCGGGATCTCGACCGCATCGCGCCACTCGGTGCCGAAGAGTGCTGGTCTTCCCGATGGACGCTCCCTGCAATCAAGACGTGGAATCGAGACGCGCGGTAGGGATGCAAAAGGGCCTCGGAGGGCCGTGTTGACGATGTTCGATCGGGACCAGCTGGCGAGAGCTGCCAAGAATGTGCCGAGGGGGCATGGTTGCCAGGGAAGCCTTGGCAAGTTGATCACCCTTACTATTCCCTTCGACTGCACCTAGTCGTGAACAGATCATTGGAGTTCTGTTGAGGGCTTCTGCTGCACGCAGAGTCTCCATACCCAGCATCCGCCATTCTGCTGCAGCGTGCGAAAACAGGCCACTGGGCTCGCTCCTTGAAGCCCTCGTGGCAATCAAGCAATCTTCAAACAGCCCGAAAGCGATGAGAGCGACCGTTGAAAGTGGACCACCGAGGGCGATCACAAAACCGATCGCTAAGCGGATCGCTGAAGGCCATCGCCGCAACGCTGAATACTCGGTCACCCTCGACACCCGTCCGAGTCATCCAGCCTGGAAGGGCGTCTTGGCGACACTTGTGGAAGGCTTGACGATCTCTGCCGTGCCTCGACTCGCGATGCGTCTTCCACCGTCTGTCTGGGATAATCAAATACCTCTGGATGGGAGTAAAGGGGGTTTCCGCTCACGCGACTCCATTTCAAGTCGTGCGCGCGTCGGCTGGCTACTTCGGCTGGCCTGGTCGCTCGGGGAGGCATCGTGGACCTCCTCGCGGGAGGCGACCCGCCGGTGGGGTCGTTCGGGTTCACCCCAAAGGTAGGTACTGGGATGAGGTCGGGCCTGTCCCCATACAGGGGGATTAGATGGGCGAAAACACAGAACTAGTCAAACCGTACCCCAGAATGATGTCAAAAAAGAGACCCCGAAACTCGTCCCCAGACTATTTTGACACAATTTTGCATATTCCTCCTGTAGAGCGACAGGCCCGACTTAACACTGAGAGGGACCACGGTAGGAGCGAAGGGATAACCCTCGCAGGCGCGGACTATGGTAGAAGCAATGGGCCTCTCCAGCCTTCGCGCCACAGCGGAAGCCTGCGGCAGGCACCGACCGTCCTTTTGAGAGCAAGCTGCGTTGGGGCCCAAGCCTGGCGCCGCCCTCGAGCCCAGCGCGCAGCCTCTCTCCAAAAGGAGGCGGGCCCCCTGGTCCTTGGCGCCACCTGTGGGCCAAGGCGCCCCACTTACGCGTTCGATCATGGACCCCTTGTTACCCGTCTGCCTCGGGCGGCCTTCGGCGGTCTTCCGGCGCTTCCGGGTGGTCTTCGGCGGTCTTCTGCCGTTCTTCGGCGGTCTTCTGACGGTCTTCGGCGGTTTCCAGCGGTCTTCGGCGCGAAAGCTGGATGGCTGCGTTCGACGAGGGATCCATGAGCGAACACCCAACTCTGCCCCAAGCCAGGCCGCCGGACTCCGAGCCAGGCCAAATGGCCGGGCCTGCTCCAATCTCGCTGGCCCAACGGGGCGAAGGAGGAGAGGATGAGGCCCCAAAGCAGCCAAAACGACGTGGACTCGCGTGAGCGGACCCCCCTCGCTACGACCAGTTTACCGGCCCTGTGTCACCGTGTGGGGGGGGGGGTCGGGGCAAGGGACGAGTCCGCGCGCTTCCTCGCAATACTGGACGATGACCTGCAATCTTCAATTGTGGGTGTTCTCCCCGGTAGCCCCCACGCTGGGCTCCCTGCCATCGGAGAAAGGGGCCCCGGTGGAGACGGCTCCTCGACCCGGGAGCTTCTCCGAAGCCCACGCTCTCCTCCCGAGTCGTCCTGGACGGCCTCAGTCGGGGCGCGGGTCTGGCCCCATGTTCCCGAGAGCTGCCAAAACCCTCGGAACCCCTGTCCTCCAGGACCCCTTGTCCTCACCCTCTTGAGCAGGGGCCGACCGTCCCGGCATTCCTGTAGTCCTGCCACGAAATGTTCTTAGAACCCACAAATGTTCGAATCACAGAACAATGTTCTTAGAACACAAACCCGATGTGATAAAACAAGACAGACTCCGCCAGAGATGTTCTAAGAACATTTCGTGGATACCACAAGAGATTCTTAGATCATTGCTTGGTGGGGCTATAGGCGAGCCAGGACGCTTCGCCGCTGCTTGACCCTCATCGCCGGGCTCCCCCTGGACCTGC